CTTTGTGGGACAATACCCACCCAAATGAACCACAGTGGTCAGGGCAGTGATGTCATTCTTTAAAAAAGCCTCAAAATACAGTCAAGTAATAAAGTCCAGACTAGTTGAGAGTGGTCTTAATCATCTTGTTACCTGAGAATCTTTATTCTAAAAAAATAACTAGAAAATGGCAGATGCTTAACAGATATTTTAAAAAATTCTGACTTTGCTCTTGGTGAAGGTAATGAGATTATTTTCTCCACTGACATCCTTGCAATGGAATACATGTTTTTTTCTTTTTTAAAAAATATATTTTATTGATTATGCCATTACAGTTGTTCTATTCCCCCCCTTCATTCCCCTCCACCCTGCACACCCCCTCCCCCACCATTCCCCCCTTTAATGACCACGTGTCTCAAGTTCTTTAGATTCTATATTTCCCATGCTATTCTTGCCCCCCTATCTGTTTTCTACCTACCGTCTATGCTACTTATTCTCTGTACCTTCTCCCCCCTTCTCCTTCTCCCACTCCCCTATTGCTAACCCTCCATGTGATCTTCATTTCTATGGTTCTGCTCCTGATCTAGCTGTCCTCTTAGTTTGCTTTTGTTTTAGGTGTGGTTGTTGATAACTGTGAGTTTGCTGTCCTTTCACTGTTCATCTTTTTTATCTTCTTTTTCTTAGGTAAGTCCCTTTAACATTTCATATAATAAGGGCTTGGTGATGATGAACTCCTTGAATTTGATCTTATCTGAGAAGCACCTTATCTGCCCTTCCATTCTAAATGAAAGCTTTGCTGGATAGAGCAATCTTGGTTGTAGGTCTTTGGATTTCATGACTTGGAATACTTCTTTCTAGCCCCTTCTTGCCTGTAAGGTCTCTTTTGAGAAACCCGCTGACAGTCTGATGGGAACTCCTTTGTAGGTGACTGTCCCCTTATCTCTTGCTGCTTCTAGGATTCTCTCCTTCATTTTAATCTTGGCTAATGTAATGATGATGTGCCTTGGTGTGTTCCTTCTTGGGTCCAACTTCTTTGGGACTCTCTGAGCTTCCTGGATTTCCTGGAAGTCTATTTGCTTTGCCAGATTGGGGAAGTTCTCCTTTATTATTTGTTCAAATAAGTTTTCCACTTGTTGCTCTCATCTTCCCCTTCTGGTACCCCTATAATTTGGATATTGGAGCATTTAAAGATGTCCTGGAGGTTCCTAAGCCTCTCCTCATTTTTTTGAATTCTTGTTTCTTTATCCTTTTCTGTTTGGTCATTTTTTTCCTCTTTCTGGTCCACTCCTTTGATTTGAGTCCTAGTTTCCTTTCCATTACTATTGGTTTCCTGTGCATTACCATTCATTTCAATTAGTTTAGCCTTCATATGTTCCTCTAATTTGTGACTAAAATCAACCAGTTCTGTGAGCATCTTGATCACCAGTGTTTTGAACTGTGCATCTGAAAGTTTGGCTATTTCTTCATTGCTTAGCTTTATCGGGTCTGGGGCTCTGAGTTATTCTTGAGCCATGTTTTGCTCTGTTGGTGCCTGTTACGTATGAGGAGCGGAGCCTTAGGTGTTCACCAGGGTGGGGCCACCCAGGTTGCTGGTTTGTGATGCTGTATGTGGGGTTGGGGTCAGAGAGGGACAATGATGGTCCTCTCTGCCACTTCCTGCCACTGGGGCCTGCAGGGTCTGTCTCACCGCTCGCTCCTTCACCAGTTTATCGGTTTGGCTGAAGGGTTCGTTGTTGTCAGACTTCCGTATAGTTCAATTTTCTGTGGTTTGGCTGCGTTTTTGTTGCTAAAACTTTGTTGTTTTTAAACTTGGTTGTGCGAGAAGGTACAGTGCTTCCACCTACACCTCCATCTTGGCAGAAGTCCGGAATACATGTTTTCTGTTACACATTTTAATTTTAATTTGACTTTAAGAAAAACTATTATTATTGAAAAAGCTACTGGAAGACAAAGGCATGTTCAAGTAGTCATATCCAATAATCAAATAACCAAAAATAACACGGAGAATGCCAAAAGAAGATCGCTATTTTAGAGATGAGCAGTAGATGGTTCACACTTGCAATCAGTAGTATATATATATAACATACTACAGCAGGTGTGCAGTAAGAGGGGAGCATAATCTGGTTAAAAAAAAAACAAATGACGTTCAATTTATTTGTTTTATGAAAGTCACGAACAGGACTCTTTTGAATAAGCTTTAGAGATGTATACCTGCAAACTCTTTTTTAGAACTGCTCGTTGTATTGGTTGGTCTTTCAGTCACGTAGTTTTATAAGTTAAGTAATATCATGAGTCAAAGATTTCCCATGAGTTACCAACTCTTGGGTGTAGTAGCTATTATGTTTTTATATAGAACCTGATCATTTCAAATGGGACTTAGAAGAAGTGAGAAATAAAAACACACTCATCAGAATCAGGATATGGAGGAGAAAACCATCAATTTCAAGTGTCACAAAGTAGCAACCAGAAGGCTCCCAAAATCCACATGTAAGGAATAAAGTTCTGTCCAGAGAGAATTCTGAAAAGAAGGGAATTCTGCAAAGGACCTTGCAAAAATCAGTCACATTTCAAGAGGAAGGTATAAGAAAGTAAATCTTAAGCTGCTGCTAAACTGCCTAGCTAGCAGAATGAACCTATTTCATTTCTCTTTCTTGCAGCTTACAACTCTTTTTATAGGTAGCGAGGCAGACTTAGAAAGCTTCTGCACGTCTTGAGAAATGACACAAACTGGATTAAATATGACTTTTAGGAAACTTAATCTGTTCGCATTAGATAAGATTTTACCATACTAGTTGCAAATCAGACTAATCTGTGGATGAATTGCCTACCTTCACTTTAGGGCAGTGATTGTCAACCTTTTTCCTCTCATGGCACACAAACTAATTACTGAAATTCTGCAGTACACCAAAAAAATATTTTTTGCCAATCTGACAAAACACATAGGTACAATTTCAATTAATTTACAAAAAATTTATTACCTATCCTTTTAGCTCCAAAGTAACTTTAAAAAAATATTTTATTTATTTTTAGAGAGAGAAAAGGGAGGGAAATATCCATCAGTCAACTCTTGCACGCCCCCTACTGGGGACCTGGCCTGCAACCCAGGTGTGTGCCCTGACTGGAAAGTTAGCCTGAGACCTTTCGGTTCACAGGCCAGCACTCAATCCACAGAGCCACACCAGCCAGGGCTCCAAAGTAACATTTCAAAAAAATCAGGGGCCTACACATGTACATAAAAATTTCTGGTCCCAGGAATTAGTCAATCAGATGCAACTTTATTATGCAATGTAACCAATAATATGCAACTCTATTATATTACCTGTATGTTTGTTGTTCAAGACAGGGCATTCACACCAGATGGCTACTGTTGTATTAGCTGTTGTCATTTTTTTCTTTGATAATCTTTCTAAAGAAAAAGAGGTCAGTGCCCCTGACTATATAGTCAGGTATTGCGTGTTTTAAAAATTCTTATGGCGCTCTTGTTGAAAATTTCTGCTTTAGAGTGTTTGATAGGTATAGTAAATGAATGTAAAGAATTTCAAGGCGACTTCTAGACTAGCAATGTCCAACAGAACTTTCTGCAAGGATGGAAATCTGTATCTTCTCTGCCCAATGTAGTGGACACTAGCCACCTAAATATTAGTAGTGCTACTGATGAACTAAATTTTAAGTTTTATTAAAAATAAATTTTATTTAATTGTAGTTAATTTAAATAGCCTTGTGTGGCTAGTGGCCACCCTATTGGGCAGTGCAGTTCTGGATCCCTTCCATCTCTTTAACTGACAGCCTCAAGGACCATTTTACTGCATAACCTTGCATTTTTCGGGGATTAAATATTATCCAAGCCTTCTAGGCTCCCCAGGGATAGGGTGATCATATAATTGTCCAAAGTGGGATGCTTCGAGAAAGACAGTGGTCTTAGCAATGATGACGGTGAGGCAAGAGGCATAATCTGGATGGTCCAGGACACATAAGAGGGTTGGTCCTCTCATGCATAGGAATTGTTGCTTGAAGATTCTGTTGGGAAACAACTGGACTTTTTTCTAAGTTGTTACAGATCATGTTTAAGCATCTTTTGGGGAACACCATTTCATCATACCATGATTTTCTTAGCCCCACAGACATTTACCAAAATCTTCAGAACTCATTTCTGCTTTCCCAGTGACTTCCAATGATAAAGTAAAGCAATGAGTAACATGATGCTAAATGACTAACTCAGAATAGAAATAAATAATCCATCCTACTGATCTGAGTTTAGAGCAAGTATCTGAATAGCTACATTGGGTTAGTTGTTAGGCTTCCCTCTGGCTTTCTGGTAAGAGGCCAAAAGAACCAAAATATCAAAGGTATTTCTTTGTAGTGTAGTTAGTTGCTCAGCATTTTCTGACAGATGCAAATTCTCCCAAAGGGATTGACGTTGGCACACCGAGCATGCCGCAGTTCATTTAGTCCAGCTTCTAAATTTTTTTCTGTGGGGAGTGGATCCTGGAAATAAGTTGCTCTGGGTACTCACTTCCTTTTCTGCCATCAGTAGAGGAAGCATATTAAGATCTGCTTTTAACAGTTAAATTTCGGCAGTGTACGAGCAACTGCAGAATACTTTAGGTTTCTCATTTTTAGAACTCAACCTGTACTGAAATAACCTAGAGGATTTTTTCTTTGATACAAATCACAGAACATGGGTTGGAACATCAAGTCATGAAAATAGTTTTAAAAATCCAGTGGCATCTATATACACTGAATACCTTTCAAAAGCAGCCAGTCACATGACAAGCCAGTTTTCATGTCATCTGGCTGACATATCATGGCTCCTCCAATCCCACCCACCTTTTGTATCACACTTTGTGTTGAAGACCGTAGAGTTTTGTATTAAGAAAAATATTTCAGAATTTAATAGGCATGTGGTTGAATAGGGAAAGAGAAGGCAATTATTTCAGGAGATTTACGAGCAAAAAAAAAAAGAACTTCACAACACAGCAGCATTGGTCTCTGAATCATTTTGTCAGAGGCGGTCCACCAACCTGATAGCTCGAATGACAGTTTTAAGTGGTGGGGTGAGGTCTTCTACGGATACATCACACTGGCATCCCTTATCGTCGTACACATCATCAGTGCCGAGGGCCGTGTCAGCTGCAAGAGAGAACTGCCAGTTAAACACTACTACCAGCTATTTAGAACATGCCACTGAACTTGTCTCACAGAGCAATAGGGGGACTGACAGACTAAGCTTCTAAATCAAGATAAGTGTAAGGTCAGCCAGTTGTTTTCCCCAATGATATTCCCTCTTCTTTTTCTACAGCCTCACCAATTTTATGTTATTTGACACGAAGACCTTACTGAGCTGTTTTCCATGAGGAAGATGAAGATGTTGACACACTGTCTTTCCTTCAGTGGTGATAGATTTGTATTGATCCATACCTGCTCTTTGTCCAGTTCTTTGAAATGAACAGCCAGCGTTTAAAAGACAGTTCTTTGGAGTTAAGAAAACAGTCTGTGGATACTTAACCAACTGGCCTATGTAGCCGGAGGTTGAAACCCACGGCATCGACCCCTCAGCCCCGTGCTCTCCATGAGGAAGTGGTCGGGTCCAGGAGCACTGACTACTCAGTCACCGGACACGGGCAGCCCAGGAGAGTTTGCTTAAGATGATGCAACCAATGCTGACAAATTTTCAGGTTAAATAACAGAATCGGTCCCTCATAAACCGAGCAAATTGACTTTTGGGTTAATTGCAAAGGTTGGAAAAGGGGGTAGGGTTATAATAAACCAAACTAGTAAGAATTTATAAAATTAATAAGGAATAAATTCATATTGTTATAGTTGTTTTCAGCAACAGAATATTGAAGATGACTTACAATTTCTGGAATAGAGGATAATAAATATTAGCAGGTTTATATAATGAAATATTAAGAAGCTGTTAAAATGATGTTGAAAACTACTCATTGGAAAAATGTCACAATATATTATTAAAGAAAAATCTATATATCTATCTGCTATTACAATATGATCCCATCTATAAGTGGAACCTAATCAACAAAACAAATAAGCAAGCAAAATATAACCAGAGACACTGAAATTAAGGACAGTAACCAGAGGGGAGTTGGGAGGGGATAATGGGAGGGGGGAGGGTTTTCAGGAACTACTGTAAAGGACACATGGACAAAACCAAAGGAAGGTAGGATCAAGAGTGGGAAGTGGGGATGGCTGGGGTTGGGGGGAGTGGTGGGGAAAATGGAGACAACTGTACTTGAATGACAATAAAAAAATGAGTTTATTCTCTTGCTTGGCTATATTCCAAAATTTCTACAATGAATATGATGCATTAGTTTGGTAATAAAGTAATAAAAATTCACATGAGACATGAGTTATACAGCCTCTGAATACTGTTAAGTGTCTTTAAGTGCTGACATACACTAAAGGACCTGCAATGCTTTCTGTTGCCTTTGCTCTGCCCAGTGTTCATCCGCCAAGTCAAGAAAAGTACTATGCCATGGGCTGTCCAGGTTGGGTTAGAAAGCCCTGAGAAGCTATCGAGGTCCATTCACTGAAGCAGTGCTTGTAATGAAAGGCAGTTGATGTGTAACTCAGTTAAACTATTTCCTGTGTGTTTACTCAGTTTACTGTGTGCCCAGGGTGGAGTTGGCTGTGGGGGAAGAGATGCAGATGGGTCTTCATGGCTCTTCTTCATGGTCCCTCTGGCCTTACAGAGGTAACGATAATGGCAACCACTCGCTGAAATTTAGGCCAGGCACTTAGGTGTAGCTTCCGTGTACATTAGTTTTCTGACACCTACAAGTTCGCAGTGATATTATGCCTAGTTTTTAAATATCAAAACTGAGGCTCAGAGAAGGTAAGTACCTTACTTGAGGACACAAAGGTGGTAAGTGGAGCTGGCATGTTGCAGAGCATGTTATTAAAATCCAGTTCCTTGAAGCTCCAAAGCTGTTCTTGCCCTTGCTGTTGATTACCCAGTGTCAGAATGCATTCAGGGTTCAATAGTGGGTTCATAATGGCATCCAGTATGTCAGGAGAGGGCAAGGGGAAGAGCTCAGTTCACGTGCTGTCTGCTGGGTACATTCAACTTCTCTCCAGAGAAGTTGCCCAGGACAGTTTGAGCAGGAGCGTGGTGACTAACTCTGTACAGTTGGTTCAGACTCAGTGATGAATTTCAGGATAGCCAGCCATTTTGCTTGACCCACCACCCATACAACACAACCCTGTTCTAACACCATGCTCAAGGTTAGGTGAGATTCTTCCAGGACTCTTCATGATTTCTTCCTCTGATTTCATCCCAATCTGCTCTTAGTTGGTGAAGTAGGTTGAATAGTGTTGCCCTCAAGTTCATGTTTGCTTGGAACATCGGAATATATTTGTATTTGGATTAAGGGTTTTTGCAGATGTAATTAAGGTAAGGTTTAAGATGAGATCATCCTAGATTAGGGTGAGCCCTAAGTCCAATGGAAATGCCCTCGTAAGACAGAAAAGGAGAAGACACAGGATCATAGAGAAAATGGGAGTGGAGGCTAGAGTGACGTACCTATAAGCCAGGGACACTGAGCACAGCTGTCAGCCAGCAGAAACTGAGGGAGGCATGTGATGGATTCTCCCTCAGAGGCCCCGGACGGAAACGACCAGGATGACACTCTGCTTTCAGACACCCCGATTTCTTGAACTGTGACTGAATAAATTTCTGTTGTCTCAAGCCACCCAGTTGGCAGTTATTTGTTATATCCTTCCTAGGAAACTAACAAAGTTGGGAAAACTTTTCTTTATGGTTTCCAACTCTTCACTCAAGAACAGTAATTATGATGATAATAATAGTAATGTACTTTTTAGGGAAATCAAATTATCTGGCAAGAACTTTAATTAGTTGCTATAAACCCCATGAATTATTATTATTATTAGCTACTATTTTACAGATTCTGAAAGCAAGGCGCAGAAACTAAGAAACTTGTCCAGGGACCCATGGAGAGTAAGTGGCAGAGGAGAATTTAAATCTAAGCAGTTGGGTTCTGGAGTTGTACTGTTCAATACTGCCTGACCCCGAATCTCACTCCCGACTCCTTCCAGATTGGTCCTCCTTGCCCCTCTTGTTGGTACTTGGATTTCTGTTCCCGCATTACATTTTCCTTCACATGGCTGTGTGCACCTTGCTATTGTGATCTCAGGTGAAGTGACCCCATAACATTGAAAAAGGATCAGGTTTGGAACCATGCGGTTACCATGGTCATGGGCTGAGTCTGTCTGCGCTCCACAAAAGACCTGGAAGTACCCATGCCCTGGGACTGCGAGGACACTGTCTGTGGTGGGGGGGGGGACAGGCTCATACACAGGTCAGGTGGCTGTTAGAGCCAGTCACCAGGCACCTTTACGGAGTCCTATGAGAAACCCAGATGTTAGTTACCCAAAAGAAATGTTACCTAATGCGCTTTGTTAGGATTTCCAGTATAGAATTCACAGAAGTATTTTATGCTGCCCTTCAAAATAGAGGCACGTGAGTGCTTCCCTTCATCCGAAAGCTAGTGAGAACCACTTCTAACACGGTTCCATCTTATAGCACAGAAAACGGGGGAACATGGGAGAGTTCACAGGGAGAGAAGGTCTTGTGATGCCTACTGGAAAATACAACACACCCAACCCTAACACGATAATAAAGGTCCAAACAATGAAATAATATGAAATATGGGGTCCTCTTACTATAAAGTTAGTGGAAAACTTTGGCACAGTTACAATAAACAGAAAGTAAAGATAGTGAAATTGTAATGTTTGCACTGACTATAAACGGAACTGGGCACATCCCAAATGATTATGAGCCTCCTTCCAGCCTAATGCTGCTCTCCCTCCACCCTGTCCTCTACCCCAACAAGAGCTCCAGTTCTACACCCTGTTTAGAAACAGGACTGGGCAGAAGATGCATCATGTGCAAATGTATCTGACTGTGGAATTTGTTTTACCACCTAAACTAGATTGCTCACAGCATAAACTCTGTCTTAAAAACATTTCCTTTGTAGATTTGATCAGAGCAAGTATCTTTGCTGACATCTACTGAAGCAAGGGTTGAGTTACAAAATTTTTCTCCTTATTTTTAAAGCCTCAAAAAATGGGGAAAATGCCATCTTTCTGCCTCATAAGTACCTTAAGATGTCAGTTTCTTTCCAGTGAGGTTAACACCACATTAAATGTCATTTTCATAATTTCAAGAGGCTTAAAACCCTCTGTGAACCCCAAGGAACCTGGGTGGGGCTCAATTTTCAGCCAAGGCTGGCTCCCTGCTCTCCAACCACACATCTGGCTCTCTGTCCTGGCATTTTGGGAGATGTGGGTTATGGGAACATAAGCTCACGTGAACGCCATGAGCACCAGACCTAGTCATGAACCGCAAAAGGCCGGTGGAGCGGGGTGCCCCCTGTGGGCACTCCTCCCCAGTGCAAATCCATGCCTGCGAAAGATGAAGTATAAAATGCAACCCTCTCTCTCCCCCAGACCTCTTCTGTTTCCCATCGGTGAGCAGTGCTCAAGATCTGCTTTAAAATATTCTGGAAACTTCTGTTTTCTGTTCCACTGTGAAATTTGCCATCAAGATGTAGTAGATGTTCATGAAAAAAGGATAGGCAATTTTTAGCTTTTTCTGTTGCAAACCACCTTTTACAGGTTAGGTTTCTTTTTTACATTTCTTTAAAAAATATTATTTTCAGAGAGAGGGGAAGGGACAGAGAAAGAGAAGGGGAGAAACACTGAATGGTTGTCTTGCACGTTCCCCGACTGGGGACCTGGCCCACAACCCAGGCACGTGTCCTGACTGGGAATCAAACCAGTGACCTTTCAGTTCTCAGGCGGGCACTCAATCCACTGGGCCGCACAAGGCAGAGCTTACCAGGGCTTACATGTCTTGATGAAGTGATTACAATGGGTTTCAACCTTGGCTACTCGTTAGAATCATCTGAGGAGGGCTAAAAAAGTCTCAGTATCTATAATGCCCTCAAGACCAATGACATTAGGAAACTAGGGTTGCAATGAGGCATCAGAGTTTTTCTTAAAGCCCCCTGGAGGAATCCAATGTGCAGCTGAAGGCCAGAATTGTTATTTTAAATGAAAAACTGACATCCTCTGGTTTCCCCTGGGCAGAGCTG